CACACACACACACACACACACACACACACACACACACACACACACACGCTTACACACACACACACACACACAATAAATGTTTTAAAAAAATATTAGGTGCTGGAGAGATGGCTCTGTGGTTAGAGCACTGACTGCTCTTCCAGAGGACCGAGGTTCCATTCCCAAGTACTCACGAGGTGGCTTACAACTGTCTGTAACTCCAGTACCAGGGTATCTAGTGCCCTCTTCTGGCCGCTACTGGTACTGCATGCATGTGTTATACAGAAATACTCATACCCATACAATAAATAAAATAATGAAGTAAAATAAAAAGTCTAAACTTTTTAAATCAACACACACACACACACACGCATGCATGCAAGCACACCACACACAATGCTGTTGAGGATGTGTTAAGAGAAGGATCCTGGTGGGAGGCGGAGGTAGGAGGATGAGCTCAGCGTAGGTTCCGTAAGACCTAGTTCCACTCTCCCTGAATGGCAAACAAATAAATAAAGCGAAACCTACCGTGTGATCCAACTGTACCACTCCTGGGCATGTACCACAGAGACATGAATACCTACAATTACTTCTCAGCTATTCATAATAGCCAAGCTATGAAAATAGGTTAGATGTCAACAGGTAAATGGGTAGAAAAAAAAATCTGATGCTTTTATTCAGCCATAGAGTAGAATGAAATTATGGCAATCATGTTAAAAAAAAAAAAACAGATTCACAAAGACATTTCTTTTAATTTGCAGAATCTGTCTATCTATCTATCTATCTATCTATCTATCTATCTATCTATCTCCTTACATATATATACACACATCTATATAACGTAAAAGTAGAAGGGGGACTATAGTGAAGAAGAAAGAGGTTCAAAGGTAGTGGGGGAGGGAACGAGAGAAAGCAAAGAGGGGGACAAAGAAAAACATCTCTCACACCAGGAATCTGGCTTTAATAGTATAAACGGGACTATCTGAGGGGAGAAGGGACCCGGGCTGTTGGGGGTGAGAGCATTGCCTGTATGGGTAAGTATCAACAAGGTGCAATGATGTATAAGCATGAAACGGCCATGATGAAATCGTGTTTTATGTGCTGTCTTTGTTGTTGTTATTTGTTTAGGCTTTTTTTTTTTTTTTTTTTTTTTTTTTTTGGGTTCTTTTTTTTTTTTTTTTTTTTTTTTGACACAGGGTCTCTTCATGTAGCCCTGCCTGTCCTGGAACTCCCTAGGTAGACCAGGCTGGCCTTGCACTGAGAGATCTTCCTGCCGCTGCTTCCCTAGTTCTGAGAATAAAGGCGAGCGCCATCATCCCCAGCATGTGGGCTGTGTCAGTGTTATTATTATTATTACTGGCATTATTAATAAAACTAATACTGTCATTAGTAGTAGTATTACTGTGATAAAACACCATGACCAAAAGCAACTTGGGGAGGAAAAAGCTTTCTTTGGCTTACATATCCCAGGTCCCAGCCCACTGAGGGAAGCCAGCATAGGAGCTCAAGGCAGGCACCTGGAGACAGGAGCTGAAGCAGAAGCCATGGAGGATTGCGTCTTACTAGCTCGCTCACCCTGCTAGTAATTAAGATCTCTACAGGCGTTCTGATGGAGGTATTTTCTCAACCAATGTCCCTCTTCCCAGATAACTCTAGTTTGTGTCAGTTTGACAGAAACCCTACCGGTATACTAGCTAAAAACAACAGCAGCAAAAAATACAAGTCAGACTCTGTACTGCATGTGTGTGATATGTGTACCTAGAGGCTAAGCACAGTGGTCCACACCTTTAATTCCAGCACTTGTGAGGCAGAGGCAGGCGAATCCCGAAGACTGAGGCCAGTCTGGTCTATAAAGCAGGTTCCAGGACAGTCAACGCTGCATAGAGAAAACCTGTCTCAAAAATTTAAAAAAACCTGTAAAAATCGTCTTTGTTTATATTCCTGTTTGCCAGAGTGTGTGGAAGCCAGAGGCCGATGCTGGGTGTCTTTTTCAATCACTCTGGACCTTAGTTATGAGACAGGGTCTTTTGCTGAGCTTGGAGCTCACTGATTCAGCTAGACTGTCTGATCAGTAAGCCC